CAATAGGAATGACTTAACAATCAGGTTTAAGTAATCGCATTGAAGATGATTGTCTTTCAGCAGTTACAATAACTTTAATATTTGTTGGAAAATATTTAGGCAACCAAAAATTAACGTTAGCTTCTCTATGCATATCCAAGATTTCTCTAAAGTTATCGATACCTTCAAATACTAGGATTACCTATGTGATAAATAAATAGAAATACTTTATCATAGATTATTTCTGCTCCATTAATAATTTGCTGTTCTAATTGTCTACTACATATTTCTAACCAATATTAAAAGTAACGTCTCAATTTCTCTTCCAAGAGCTCCACTTTTTATTTAATATTCAAAGCTTCTCTTAATTTTATAAGGATTCTATATATTGCATAATAATAATTGCTATTTTTTCCTGACTAAGTGGCAAAATGAGGAATGATGAAATCAGGATATCGCTATTAATTACATTACTCTTACTCCTTTTTTATTTCTGGCATGATATTCCATCCATTTTACCAAGAGCGTTTTCTTTCCAATTCCATCATCGGCTTCTAGGACCAATGGAGTATTAGTATGTAATGTTTTATCTTCATCGAGCCACTATTCAATTTCTAAGAAATATCTATCCAATCCGCTCACTTATCTAGCCATAATAAATTTTTCTACTGATTTTTGTAATACTCCACTATCACATCGTTTGAGCTATAGACTATCTAATTAAGATTACTCAACAAAGTTCATGTTTTCATTTCGCATTGATTCTAACGTACTCTTCCGATCTGCTGGAGTTGAGGCTTATCGCGAATATGCATCATCCATCTTTTTTTTTTAAGGAAATTATATTATATAATTATTATACAACAAAACTATATTAAGCTAAAATAAGCTAAAATAAACTAAAGTAAATTAAACAAAAACAACATACAATCTACTAATATATTACATATAAATCATTATTTATATTTTAGTTATCTCATCATTCTTTCATTATCTTACCTTATTACTTATATCTATTAAAATCATTATTATTTTAATACCTTTTCTTAAAGACTATTTAAATCATTTTAATTCAATTCTGAATCATTTAGAATTTATTATAATCTTTTATTTTCATCTTAAAGTAATTTCAATTTATCATTACATTCCTCATACAATTTCAATTTCATTTCCTCCTTTTAACAAGATTATTTCAAAGCTTCTTCTTCTTTTCTACTTTTTATTAATCTCTCTTTTACAAGATCATTCTCATGTTTTTATTTCTAAATTTAATTTGCATTATTATTCCCATTTTTTAATTATAAATTTATTCTATCATTTTCTAAAATCAAAGTTTAAACTTTATTTTCCAATTCTTAAACCAAATCATTCAATTCTTAAGAATTATCACTTTTTATTTTTCCTTCTAATTCTTCACAGCGTACTTTATAATTCTAAATCTCATTCTTCAACACTGTCAATTGATTATATGCTACTTTTCTATCATTTTAGTATTTGACTATTAAATCTCTTAATACCAATACATCAGGCACTTTCATTAGTTCTGCATTATCTAATAATAATTATTTATTCATCTAATTAAGTAATTTTATCTTATCTTCTAATTCTTTAATTAATTAGACTGATTATACTCTTTAAGCTTCAGATTCTAATTTCTAAATCTCTTAAGTCATCTTAATACTTTATTATTATAAACATTTCAATTCCTCTTATAGAGCAAATGTATTAGTATAATTCACTACCTTTTGTGAATTTTATTATTACATCAGAGTAGGTGAAACAAAAGAAGATTATTGAGCAATTTGTTTAGGTTATTATTGTTGTGTTTGCACTTATGAAAAGAATTGCTATGGTTTTAAATCTCTAGTATTTGGAGATTAGAATTAAAGTTAAGGAGATTGATGTTGAGGAGAAAGTAAATATGGTTAACGATTTTGAGGTGATTACAATATTTAAGCATTCTCATGACGCTATTGAGGACTCATGGGAATAAAAGGAGCAGTTTATGAATTAAATTAATTAGCATCTTCTTTTTACAGTTACTTTCCTCCTCCAACTTTAAATTGTATTTTATACTCAGATGCATTGGGTGTTTATTAATGTGTTAATTGTTTAGTTGGAGCAACAGGTTTATTAATCATTTCCATATCGCTAGCTGTCTTTTACATCAAACTCTTATTCTCAACATTACTGAAGGGTGAACGAACTTAGAATTGATTGTATAATTGTGTAGGATTAGCTATTTTAGATACTAGAATAGTTTACCTATTTGTTTGTTTTTAGAGACTTAGAATTATTGCATGACTAACAGCCAAATTTTTATTAATAAGAATTTCAATAATTGTATATAAATATATATAATCATTTATTATTATAGCTTTTGGATATGTTACAACATTTAGCAATGAATCCTGACATCTATAAGAATGTAGGTAAACCCTCTAAGATTCTAGCTTTGAGAAAGGCAATTTATCGTAGGAATTCGAATTAAAGATCTCTATCTCCATTATGATTTTAAATAACTTTATTGAAAGTATTGGTAACATCATAAGCCATATACCCATTATCAAAAATTGACTTCATAAGTAATTAAGCAGGTTAGAATTCCCCTTTCAACATATGAGCTAAAATCTTCTTCAAATCATCAACATTAGGTACATCACAAACTTTGAATACATTTTCTCTATTAACTAATCCAAAACCTGTATGTGTTGCTTATAAATTATTGATTGCTTATCTCATGTCTCCTTCAGCTGTAAAAGTTAATGCATCTAATCCATCTTTTGTGTAAGTAACACTTTCTTATTTTATAATCTCCAATAATCGATCTCTAATCTCATTCTCACTCAATCTATTGAATCTCAATATACAACATCTACTTTGTATTGCATCAATCAATTTCGTTGAATCATTACAAGACAATACAAATCTTGTTGATGTAGAATAATCACTTATGATCATTCTTAATGCTTATTATGCACCTTCTGTTAAACTATCAGCTTCATCAAGAATTACTATTTTATGTTATCCTTCCTATAAATTTACTTTCTTTTATGCAAATCCTTTTATTTATTCTCTCACTGTCTCAATCCCTCTATCGTCAGATGCATTTAATTCAAGTACACTTTCTTTTATTGAATCTCCCAATATTTATCTTGCTAAACATAGAACACTACTTGTTTTCCCAATTCCAGGAGGACCAACTAATATAATATTGGGTAGATTTCCCATTTTTGCTATTGCTCTAAGTTTGTCAACAATATCCTAATTGCCATGAACTTCATCTAGAGTTTTTGGACGATATTTCTCTAACCAAATTAAATTGTTTTCCATTGACCGCGGAATTTAAATAAATATATATATATATATATAATTTACAATTCTTGATTAATCTGACAAGGAAATTTAAGAATATATATTATATTAATAAAAATGACAGATGATTTCTTTAACCTTGATTTTGAAGATAATTGCTATCAGTCATGTCAATATCAATTCACTAGTAGTAGAGATAGTGGCATGTCATCTGATGATACTCATTAAAAAAATGTATAGATTAAAAAGAAAAACATTGCCAAAAAATATGAACCTATCTATGAAAACAATATTGTATATCGATATGAAGATAATCCAGAATAATATAAAAAGATTAGAAAGTATATTATTAATTTATTTTAGGAAACTACAAAATAGAGAATCAGCTAATAGAGTTCGAGGAAGGTAAAAGAATTATGTACAAGATATGGAATAGGAACTACTTGATATGAAAAAAGAGAATCAATAACTTTAAATGTTGAATGCAAAATTGTAAGCTGAAAATGTTGTTCTAAAACAATAGGTTGAATTTATGTAAAATCTAATTATGTAATCACAACCACATCAGAGTGATAACACTTTACAAAGAGACACTACTAAAAATAGTCATTTAGCTACTTTGACTGCCTTCTCAGTTATATTAGGCTTTGCATTTCTAAATGGAGGAGAATTAGAATCCAAAGAATCCATTATGGGTGCAAAAGAATTAACAAATGATTCAATCATTTCAACTCCAATCACAGTCACTCATTCTATTAAACCCTTTTTATTTGGTTCAGCCATAGCTCTTTGGCTAGTCTATGCTCTCTATGTTGTCTATAAAGTGTTTTTAAAAAGTAAATTAAAAAAGAAAAAAGTTATTTGATTATTATATAATATAAACAGTATTATTAATATACACATATGAATTTAATCGAAAATAATAATCGTTCGGAATATCCCATTTTTATATGGGTTGATAAAAATATATTCAATTGGGAAAATAGGATTTATTGTGAACAATTACAAAATGATTACTAGAACTTATTTCAAGCATTTGATAATATACCTGATGCTTTAAAAATATTACACAAAATTAAAGATAAAGATGTTACTATCTTAACGAGTGCTCAATGTGCTTATTAACTTGTAAAACAGACAAAACATAATATGATCGTGTTTTGTGGCACTAAATTTAATCACCTCAATTTATTCCTCGATAATACTTAGATCAAATCTATAGTATCGAATTCTTTTCAATCTGCTCATGAAGATGTCATTATGAGTATGAATTAAACTGATATTTACAATGATTTTATACAATTGTTATCACCGCCCTAACAATAAGCAATAGAATATCAACATTCAAAGGATCATGTGAGTATCTAATTTCTAGTTGTCATAGAGGATATAAGAAAGAATAAAGAACCTAAAGAATCAGACATATTTAATGAAATTGAGGCATTACTTACTATTTCAAACAAATAATAGAAAAAATAAAGTATCTTAGAAGATTTAAAAAAGAAGGAAATAGAAAAAGAACAATTCTTAAAAGAGAAATTTAATTTGTTCGAGAAATTAATTTATCTATACAGTAGAGAAGAGATATATCAAGTCTTTAATTAGTAATTTGCATAGCATAATTATTAAAAAATAAAAAATATTATTCTATGTCTTTATCAAGGATTTAAGTAACATTAATTAAAAGAATGTAAATTTTTTTCATCCCTTTTTAGAGGAATATATTTTGATTCAAAAGAAATATTTGAAACAATAATCTAAGATCTATAATCTTCATAAAAGGAGGGAAAATCTCTCTTTTGGAATACAATTACTAGTACATCTTTACTTTCAGAAATTGCATATAATTTTTGTTCAAGTGGCAATTATGGAATACTTTATTAAATCCTATTGGATTAAGATGTTCCTCATCCATGTTTTAAATTATAAGCATACCATACCCAATATCCAAAAGAGGAAGAAGTACTATTATTCCCATAATTTGAATTTATTGTTTAAGAAATCAATTGCATTTAAGTAGAACCCATTACAATCTATTTGGTTACTATTAAGCAAGTAAAAAATAACTATGCATTTGCTCTTGATCCAATGCTGAGAAAGATTTATTGGGACAAAATAAAAGAGGAAAAAATTAAACCTAAAATTGAAACACTAATAAATTTTTAAAGTAAAAGAATTTTTGAATTGATATCATTTTTTGCTGAAGAATTTGAAGATTAAGAAATATATATGGATGAAATTCTCTATAGGATTGAAAATGAATTAGTGAATGTGTTTGGATAGATTCAAATGTAATTAACAAAAATTCTAAGTCATTCTAATTACACTGATGTTTTGAGTCAAATTGAAAAGCTCACTAAAACATATACCTAAGTTATTAAAATTGAATACTAAAATCAAAATCCCTAATAATTCTTTTAATCGATAAAAGAACTTATAGATAAAGTCATAAAATCCTTAAGATAAAATATTTGCACATTGATCTTAAAGGGAATTATCAACATTGAATATTGGAAAGAATATTTAGAAAACTTACAAGCAAAATTAAAAATGAAACAATCTTAAAACTCAACAATAACAGTTCCCAATAGTTAAAAGGTAGACCCATCGTCTTTGTAATCTTAACCTGTATATAAGGGTAATACTTCATTATTATCCTATTAACAACTTAAAGGATAGAAGATTACTTCTTTACAATAAGTTTAACATAAGAATGGCAATTTTGCATATGAAGCCACTCTTTAAGATGGGAATAAATTGTTGATGCATCACAATCCAAATAACAATAATGAACTGACATTTACTAAAAAAATAGATGCCACAGGTAAAAATGGATATTCAAATAAATGGTAGAAAGTAGGAAAACCATTAGAAACGAAATCAATAACAGTATAAGAGGTTTAATAATCAATACAGGGATAAAGTGAGAAATTTAACATGTAATCCATTTAAGCAAAGGAAATGAATTATCAATTCTAATAAGCTAAAATATAAGGGTAGATAGGTGGAGTAATAGCAGGAACACTTGGTAGTTTGACTGTTGACTGTATAATCGATGGAATCGATGCATAAAAATTAGGCAAAGGATTATTAGCTTCTGCTACTATTTAAGGAGGTTTAATATATGCATAAAGTGTACAATCTTTTGGAAGAGCAGTTCCTTATGTTGGAATCGGATTAACTGCATTTATGACTAGCATTTCAGTAGGAGGAGTAATCTTGTCTGATTTCTTGTCTTAAAGTGAGAAAGTATATAATTCTATGTTGATTGCTGTAAAAACTGGAAGTGCTATAGGATTAGGTTATATAGGAATTGAAGGTGGAATGGCATTAGGTGCTACAGGTGGTCCAATTGGAGTTGTGATAGGTGGAATCATTGGAGGTTTTATTGGAGGTGCAAGTGGTAATTTATTAGGGAGAGCTATTGATCATTTTACTTAGTTTACTTTACAAGTCGATTTTAACAAGAATCATAAATCTAAAGTTGAGGATGGTTACTTAATCAATCCAGGATAACTTCCAAAGATAAATTGGAAATACGTCAAGGATAAAGTAAAGAGTCTAATTTTAATTGCATAAACTGACACTCATATGGCTTGTTTAATTCCAAATATTGATAGAAATAGGACTGAAATCTAAGAGAATGAAGACATTGGGATTCAATTTAATGAATATAAATATATAGGTCCCGACGATTCTTGTAAAAGTATTACATTTAGACTCCTTGCAACCACAGAGGAATATGTTAATGATGATGAGATATTGTAGCAATTATAAAATAATGAAACAAACATTATTGATATTGCTTAAGTTAAAATTAATTTAGAAAATATTAAATAATGATGATTTACATTTGAATAAGAATAATATTATTATAACTTATATTATAAATATAATAGGATAAAAGTATTATAATTATTATCAAATCTATTATTTAAATAGGGCCTTCATATATATCATTTGAAATATTTATTGAAATATGAATAAATGAAAATTATGAAATACTATCATTTAGACTCTTGTTTTTGTTGTTATTCTTATTGCTCTAATTCTTAAATCCCTTTTTAGTACAATTTGTCCCATTCCAAAATGGTTTCATCTAAATTATTTACACAAATTTAAAATGCTCCCTTCCCAAATACATTCATTTGATAATATAATGGTCTCACAATCACCTTTATAAATCCCATTTCATTCTTTGACATAACATGCAACTAAAAAATTTTTAGAATAATTTATACTTTGTCTAAATCCTTCATAAATGGTTATTGAGGATATCCCTTCTTTCCTTCATCCTCATATTAAGCTCTGTATTCTTAATTAATCTTCTCACTCCATAATTAACTCTAAGGCCACTTTCTAGCAGTACCATTGAAATCTGCGGTATGTGTGATCATTCCACAAAGCAAAGATAAGTCTTCTGGATCATTTCCATACTATTCAATCCTAGATTCAAGTTCTTTCAGCATCTTAAAATGTTCTTACATATCTGTAGCTAGAATATTAGATATCAATTATTTTCTAAATGATCGAAAATCTTGATCTGAAAAATTGCATAAGATATTTGTTGAAGAATCTCTAAGAATCTTAACAGTTGTTGCTGCATGATGCTATTCCAATACCTAACATATTAATACATATAATTACCACTCTATCATGATATCTGATAGCCAAAGTACTTAATGAATTAGCTTCATACGCATTTGTTTTACCAGTATGAGCTACATCATGACAAAGTCCAGAAAGCAATAAACAAAATCTAGTTGTGTTATTGAATAAGTGTTCTCCTAAGTGTTATAATAATTATTTGACAAAGCAGTTTACAGCTTACATAACTGCAATACCATGATCATAATTATGATATGGATTATTATTCATATTGTACTGAGTTTCCATCTCATTTAAAAAATTGACTAATTTCTCTTAAGGAATGCCAAACATTTATATAAAGTTTCCTCTAGCTAAAATTGACCAAACCAATCTTTGCTTCTCAATCAAGTTATTGATCTAAAGACGATTAATATTATTATTGATACCTCATGAATATTAAAATCTAGAGAATCTAAGATGATGTCTTACTCTTTAACAATTAAATGAGATTCATTAAATTTATTAGGATTAACTTTCATAGACTTTTTTTCCTCTTCCCTTTATTTAAATAGGAAACTATTCTTCCCAACCACTTAGTCTTTTTTTATCTTTCTAAAAACTAAGGTTGGAGTCTTTTACGACTATTATTACACTGGATTGAATTCCTGAATCTAAGGCATGTACATAGCCACAACTGAATTTCTGATGTCAGGATTAAATTCTTCCAGTTTCTTAATATAATCCATGGTTTCTGTTTGTAATAACTATTGTCTAACTAGATTGCCTGCATTTGGAGGCTACGCCTTTCTCCTTACCCAATCATTCTCTGATACAATTAATGTAAATCCTTTAAATTGTTTCTCTTCTTTTCGGATAAATATTTCAAATGTCTTATTTGATTCATCTTCTTATTGATTCAATTTCCACTTAGAATTACTAATATAGGTTTCAATTGTTTATATCATTGATTGATTGGAATGGAAGATCTACTTATAAGTTAAATCGATTTGGGTTTTATCGATATTAAATTACTGTTTGATTTTTTGAGGCAATGCCTTACTCAAAAATCTTAGTCTTCCTTATTTATCAAAATCAATCATGAATAGACTTTTAGATCTTAGAAAATATTTGTAAAAGGACATTCTTTCATAACATTACTTTATAAATTGTTAATATCTTTGATATTATTGATTAACTTGATTGTAAATTAATAAATCTTAAGGTTTCTTTAAGTCCATATCGGTTGTAAATAGGTTTTGAGATTATGAATCCTTAAACTTAAATGTAACCAGATGAGGCTAATATTCATTAATCTGTAATATTTGATATTATCCATTAATAATTGATAATATTTATTCAATTAATAAATACTTTGAACATCTTACAATCTCTAATCCAATTTCTAATACAGTATCTCCAATTGATAAGATGCTAAAATATTATACCTTAATTTATTATTCAGTATAAATCACAAATTATGCAAGATCGATAATTGAATCCAAATATTTGTATTTAGTTGCCAACATCACAAATTATGTAAAATCTTAATCTAATTGCATAGTAAAAAATTAGGTATTAGACAACTTCAATATGTATTCTCCATTTCTAAAATATTTTCTCAAAGATTCAAGTTATTGAATTTCTGTAATGTCTGTGAGATTTTACAATTCTCTTTTACATTACTCATTTAAATCCAATTGTTCATATTTTTCATCCCTATGTAATGAGACTACTTCATCTTTGATTATTATATATCCATAGGATGTACAACCTATTAATTAGTTTAAAAATGTCTTAAGAAATTCTTAGATATCTTTTGGTTCAACCTTTTCATCCATCAATAACAGAAGTGAATTCATATAACGTGAATACCTTTGCTAAGCATTATGATAAAATTACTTTTATTAACTAGTAAATCTATTGCAATTACTAAGTTGTAGTTAAATCAATTTCTTCCTGATAATCAATCTAATATAAAAGTCCCCTCAGTTTTTATATTTTGTCTCTAAACTCTTCAGTCATCTATTGATATTTATAAATTCTTGTACTTATTAATGTTAGTTTTGGAACATACTGTTTAATTATTTGATCAACTAGTCAATCATTTTTACAGTTTGAGTCTCAGATAAAATTATAGATTACTAAAATTTATCCCTCCTGCTTTCTTGATGGACTCAACTCCTAGGTCTATGATTTACATCTAGTCATCTGAAGCTAAGAAATGTAGGATAGCAACATTTCCTTCATTTGATTGTCATCATGTTATTTTGATAGTAATACTAATAGTGAAGGATCCTTGACTGTCAACTTTTATTTCACAATCTTTTTCTCTTATAAAGAGATCAGATTTTATGATTCCATCTCTCCCAAAACATGGAAAAAGTTAAGATACCCACAAAGACTAGGTGAGTGAAGGTCATCTTATTTCATTTCTTTATTCGTGTAAAATAATTAATAATCTCAATATAGTAATACTGTTATCAAATAATTATAGTCAACAGATTATTTAATATTCACATTTCTGATCTCTTCATTTTAGATGTTCTAAATGATTAACATATAAAAATATTTACAAAAAGAATATTCTCATAACATTCAATCAATTATTTTCTATAAAACTACTAAAAATTAACTATCATAACACTTATAGGATTATCAAATTAATCGATTTTTGTTATTGATTTAATGATAAAGTATAATTTATATCAATTCTAACATAAAATCAATACCATTACAAATATAGTAAAAAATGGAAAATCATTTAAATTTTACATTAATTATAGGGTGTAAATCATAAATGAAAACTTATTTCTAAATCTGAGAATTGAAATGACGAGTTAAATTATATTTGATAATCATTGCATTTGTTTAATTCACCAATTACTTTTTTAAGTATTAGAACATTTCATTTTAACAACTCGTAAAATTGGTGAAACTGTTTTATTAATAATTGATGGATAGTCTCTAATTGAGGAATAACCCATTTTATATATATAAAATTATTTTTGAATATCTAGTTCTAAAAGGAGAATTAAAATAACATGTTAAAAAATAGGTTATAATTAAAGCAGTATATAAGTTTCTTATGAATACATTTTTTAATATTAATATCAAATAAGTCGATGAATTCTTAGATAATAAAAACTTAAGTTTCAATTTAAGAATGATACAGAAAATGAATTCCTCTTTTTTTTGCTATTCATATTTTGTGTATGAAAAAGAATCACAAGTAAGAATAAATAATAAGAAAAATTATATACATATTAAAAAATTAAATTAAATCAATTTAATTAAAATACCCTTTAAGCAGCATTGATTATAATAATTATCTTGTCCCATGAATTTAAGGGTAATTTGGTAACTTCTTCTCTTTATAAATATCATTTTCAATAATAGAATATTATAATTTAGAAATGTCCTTACTAAAATTTTTCAAAAGACACTTCATTTTGTATATTAGGTTAACCCAAAATTTCTGATTTTTGCTAATCATTTTTTTCGATGACCAGAAGAATTTGAGAATTAAAGTACTTTAAACTTTTTTGGCAATAAAGAAAATGCTAAATTAATTATTTTCTAATAAATACCTTTATTTGATGCTACTTTATCTTAGATTATATAAAATTGATTGATCAACAGAAAATGAAAACATATTTATATCATGATTAAAAGATTAATAAAGTTAATATTAACTATTATTATTGGAGACACAGTTATTTTTTCGTCATCATTAGTTTATTTATTTATTTTAACATTCTCATAATTGTTTAAATTCTGATTATAATGATTTAATAAAAGGTTTTAGCAGCTGAGTTAACAGATAACAATTTACAACTATTCATTTTATTACATTAATTTTAAGGAGAAATTTGAATAATAATTACACTAACTCATGATCAATATTATTTAATAATCATTCATTATATTAAATAATTTGATGTAATTTTCTTAATTATAACAATTATATTTTTTCTTCAATATTAATTCTTAAAATTATTTTATTTATGGATTACTTTTTGTCTTCTATAAAATCAGCCATCTCTTAACTTGAACTTAAGTAGCCTAGATATGCCCCAATTTATTATATTCTAACAAGTTCACTAATATTTTCAATAAATTCAATGCTTAGTAAAATGATATCACATATTCCATCATCTTAAATTGTATATTTTAGAGCAATTATTATGTGTTTATTTAACACGATAGTAACTAGTAATTAAAACATATAACTATATGGGTTTACATCAGATATATACAATAAATTATTTATGAGAAGCATTTTTGGATGTTTAGGAACAATTTGTTTTTATTCAGGAATTATGTAGGTTAGTGTGTCAGAAGGTCAAGTTCTTTTTAGAACATCTCCTCTTTGGACATCTCTTATGGCAATTTATTATTTGAAAACAGAAAAATTGTAGATGAGTTTATTTTTTAACTTGATTATTTGCTTTTTTGGAATTTTTCTTATTAGTTAGCCACCAGTGCTATTAGAAATTTTTGGTTATGAAAAAAGCGAAAATTTAGTGGAGACATAATTGATGGGAATAATATTAATGATATCTGCTGCAATATTCTCATCAATAATACAAGTATTAATTAATACATTAGCTAAGTCTGTATGAATTTTTGTAATCTAGGTGAATTAATTAGTAATTTTATAATACTTCTCCATTATATCAATTGGTGTGACTACAGTGGCTCTATTTATTATTCCATCTTAGTAATGGTTGGTGCCAAGTTATTTTGAAATGACTATGTTAATATTAATTGGGTCTACTTCCTATATTGTATAATTATTGATGAATAGAGCATATATGAAAGGAAACCTTACAGAAATATCCATGCTAGGTTAGTCTTAAGTTATTTATGGATATATAATTGACATTTTTATGGGAACTAATTTATCTATTTTTAGTGTTTGTGGTACTGGAGTGATTGTTGCTTCTTTAGTAAAAGTTGTACTAGATAAATCGAAATAATAATAAAAAGGTCACTGAAATCAAAATGAAATGTATAATAATATTAGATATAGTATTTTATATGATAAATTAACTAATCTGAAAACTACATTCCTTTCATTTATTCTTTTCATCTTCATAATTTATCAACTTTCTACTTTTTTCATAAAAGAAGATATAATTTACAAAAATTATAGATCCATTTAAATTTCCATATCATTATGTAAGTAGGGCTAAACTTAAATTTTAGAAGTAATTGATAAGAAAATTCAGAAAATTTATTGACTTATAATTGTATAATAATTACATTGAATTCTCATTTTATTGAAGATTGGTATTAAACTGTTGAAGTTTATATTAATCAGTAATAAACATAAAAAATTAAGATAAAAGCCATAATATAAATATCTACTCAAAGCTACTTTTTTATACACTAGTATTTACACAAAATAATGATTCAAAAAATCAAATATTTTAGAATACATTTGATAATTTGATTATTCATATAAATAAGTTCTTGATATTAGATGATATTTGTAATCAGATCTCTAATTTCACAACTTTTATTGAAAATTATTGATAATCATATTATATTATATTATATTATATTAAATAAATAAATAAATAAATAAATAAATTTAATTATAAACTTTTCTTATAATTATTCATGAATACTTAGAAAATAAGGGATGATCTTTATTTTAAAATTCACTAACATAGGAACATTTTTCTTTAATCGGATAATTTTTCTAACAATTTATTTTTTATTTTTACTGGATTGTATGAAGTACAAAAATAATAATCTAAAATAGGATGACCGTAATTTACAACATAATACAAATGATGCCTATAATGGTCAGCATAATCCAATTTACTATCATTAAGTTTTGATTCTTACCCTCCATCATGAGCCAACATATCTCTAATTGCATATAAACCCCCAAAAATCATTGTTTATAAAGGATGGATAGGTATCAATACTTCAGATGAATGAAGAAGCAATGTACCTAATAGAAAGCTTAAAAGAATGATGAATACAATGGATGTATTAATAAAAATATTTTAAATGTAGCATCCTATGAATCCAATAACCATTAACTAAATATAAAATTTTAAGACATATATGTAATCCAAATCCATTGAAATATTATTGAAAATAAATCAAGTAATTTATATTCATTGATTTCAAAATACTTATAATATGGAGTATTGGGATAAATGTAATAATAAAACGTCTTAGTAATTTTAAATATAATACCATTGTTACTGAGCTTCCAAACATCAATTAAGGAATTCCATAGCGAATTTCTTTCAAAATATTCTAAACTCTTAATTTTGTCTTAGGCATTGGATTATAATATTCAATAACTGAACGACCAAAAAGGTATTAAGCAATAGCACCTATAAATCCAATCATAATCTTATAATGATGTAAATTTACATTTTAAACATAATGCTTAAAATCATTAATGTAAATATGCTTTTCAGTGAAACTTAAAGTTTCTAATTCACTTCCAACAACAGGACTCATTATCGAAATTAGGAACATAAAGATTTAGTGGAATTAAATCATAAATAATATTATTAAGTGCTATATAATTAAATTTTAATTAATTAAATGTATTAAAAATAAAAATTAATATTTGCTTCTGCCATTTTGAAACAGAGTATAAACTATGATTTTAATCCTATTAAGACAAGACATTATGAGATTCAAATTTATCTATTAATAAGTAAATATTTAACAGTATATTATTTTTCTAAAATTGGATATAGACTAAGAAGAGGAATATCTTTTATTTGTTTAATTAAATTCTAAAATTAACAAAAATCGATTAAAAGCCTTTATTTGCTTTAGTTTATAATTATTTTTCTACTTGAATTATAAATCATTTTATTTTCTCTTTTATTTTCTTATTTGTACAATATTAATATTACAAACCTTACTTATGAATATAATTTCTAGAATTAAAATTTTTGATTTAATCTAGGCCCATTTATTGTTCATAATGTAAAAACTTTTTCTAAATAGTCGTTAACATTTGGTAATTATGGCCTAATTACTATTTTCTTTCTGATATTAAGTAACAATTTGTTAGCTTTAGTATCAATTTCCAAAGGATCATCATCTATAGTCTTCCAATGATTAAGCACAAACTAAGAAAAGGCTTAATAGTTAATTAGAACTATAAGATCGTCTGTTAAACATGTAGATTCAGCTACAGGCATATATGATATGATTTAGAAATAATTATACATTATAAAATTACTGATGATAGGGGTGTTTCAGTAATATAATCTACTTTGATAATTACAGATTTTCTTGAATTTAAACAGTTATAGATACAGTCTATAAAACCATAAGGAACAAGGATTTCTGCTTAATAATTTAGCTCGCATAGTCTAGGTTTTGCTGTAAGTTCACATGTATAAGTTCATCCTCTTGCTGCCAGTACAATTTGTCCTCCTTATTTAAAATAATCTTCATCTTGTAGTACAAAATCTATGATATTTACCCTAACTCCCCTTTGTTATTTTTCACAATGAGGAACTTCTTAAGTAGACCATTACCAACAATGTTCCATATGTTCTCTCATTTAATTTATTCTTTTATCAAAATATGTTTTATCCACCAAAATATTTGGACCTGAATTTTCAGGACCAACAGTTCATATTTTAGAGCTTCTTCCTTATCCCATTTAAATTATTCAAATTATATTTAAGCTCTTACTTCAGTATCATCCATATGTGTTACTTAATCTTTCTCAATAGCGGTTTACAGACCTTGATAAAGTAGCTCAGCGTAAGCATATATTCTAAAATGTTTATTCGGAGATTTAGCCATAAATTCAACTTTTGATGTTGCTAAAACTGTTTCTTTATTAAATAACATCGAAACATATCGAATTATTTAAATTTTAGCAAAATCCTTCTCTAAGCCATTCAAGCAAATATCTAAATGTAATTCTCCACAACCTGCTGCTGTAAACTCACTTGTAATCTCAGTTTTACAAAGCGCTAATTGATCAAATTAGGATAATCTCTTCAAACCCTCTAATAATATAGGTTGATGTTTTGGATTTTGGGGTCTCAAAGGCACATTTATTAATGGTAAAACTAAATAATTCATTGATCTAATTAGATAACATTCTGGTGATCTGATATTGTATAACCGAATAAATTATGAATGTTATTTGGTGAATTTTTATTTTTTTATATAAATTGTAATTTTAACGATTATTTGAATCAATACCACTATTTAATAAGACATCATCCATACCAACTAATCCTACTATTTTACCATAAGAGAACATCAGGTATATATTCAGCTTTATTGGACATCATCAGTACTGTTTTTGAATGGGCTTTTCAAATAAATCTTCTATCTTCCCGTGCTTATGATTTGGACAATTATTCTAATCAATTATCTTGTACTTATGCTATCTGAAAAACTCTACCAAAAGCAAAAAATCGACTTATATTAGAATTTGGTTAAAAAAATGGTTATAAAATTTTGTACAAAATCAACAATACATATTATAATTTCAAATTTAATTTAATGATAACATTTCAGTTTTTTTAATATAATTTAACTGAATTATACATAATTAAGGGTCCCCTAGAATCAGATTCTCACATAAATGAAGCTATGGTATCGTATTAAGGACATTCATACAAAAAGGATGTTCTAAACTTCTTTGCCTCCGTAGATGAAGGCAAATGGCAAATAATCATCTCAATCAAAGTATCAGCCGTATTAATCCACTTAGACATGACTGCTTTTAAGAGAAATTTACCACTCAATTTTTATTCCTCCTATGTAAGCTCCAATCCCAAGATATAGAACATTTTTTTTTCTATTTCCTTTTATGATTGAATTAGCCAATTTACAGATTGATTCGATTATGAATGCGGTAAAAGCACTTTGTAATTATTTTCCTGAATCATCATTGCTTTTCTTCCGCCAACATTTGGACACAGCAACGAAATAATTATCACCCCAAAATTTTTCTTGTAGTTTTTGTGGTTCAACATTTGAATTTTTTTTTTTGCATAGATAAGAGCAAGCTTAGTACATAAAAAAGCCCAAGATTTTTTTCCTGATCCAAAGCATACTGAACCATGATCTGGATATATCTTTATTTTCATAAGTTGAAATAATCACATTTACATTATCGATTATAATAGCGAATTTCTGATATGGGCAATAAATAAATTTCTTTAACACTACATTTTTTTACCATCATGTTATAATTCCAATATAGACTACCAATCTTATTAATCATCAATATAGGCTTTATCTTCTCTTACAATACTTTTCTCAAAATCGTCTCAGTATACCAACAGACTCCTTCCGCATAATCCACTACAACTAAAAGCACCATCAGTTACTCTAAGAGCAGCTGTTACTTCTGAACTAAAGTCTAAATGTCCTGAAGTGTCAATCAAATATATCAAAAACTACTCTTTAGTCTCGGTATTTTTTTATGTCGTATTAATTTGAAATTAGTCCAGAATTATTGAGCAAACAGTCAGTTATGGTTGACTTTCCATTATGAATATAACTTATGACTGAGATGTTTCTTAAGATTTATTGGTATTCATCATCTATCTAATTTAATTTACTTTAGAATTGATTATTACTTCTATTTTTTTAAATTATTATTGAATCAAGAAAAGCTAAATGATTAATGGAACCTAACAAATTAATTCTTTATTAAAATTAACTGATATTATGTATTGAATAATGATTGTGTACCATTTTTTTAATTAAATTATTTTTGAATTAGAATAAATTGTATAATTGGAATAGAAATCAATTAAATAACCAAATATTTTTTGATAAAATTGGAATTTTCATCTAAAGTATTTAATATTGAATAATTTGATATTGAAGATAAAGAACAGATGTCTACAAAAATTGCATAAACAAGACAATTACAAATTATTAGTTCATTTTGATGTTAACCTTAAATCTAAAAAAGGATGACAATTAAACAATGAAAAAAAAATATTCAAGAAAAATTATCAAATTTAAGTTACATCAATTTGGGAGTTGAAATAGTAAATCTTAATCTTCACAACTTTGAATTAAATTGGATGAATAGTTAAAATATTCCTAGTCTATTAAAAAGCTTGTCTGAATTATTAAAAGAATTAAATACTAGCAAAATAATTTTAGAAGGAAATAACGAATAAGAATCATTAATTTTTAATTTTTTTAATTTTTAATTATTTTGCTTAAATAATAAATCAATATTGATTAAATAGGTTAATTATTCTGCTTAGTGGGAAGAAACTTCTGGCAAAGATTCTGAGGTAAGACTTTTTTCTTAAAATATCCAAAAATATGTGATATAATGAATTTATATATGTATCATATTGACTTTATTGGAGAATTTTATTTTCATGATGTCCTCTAACTAAACATAGATAATTATATATTTATTGAAGCACGAACTCTATTCCGAATTGCAACATGATTTATAATTTCTCTAATTTAATAAAACTTCAATATCAAGTTTAATAAATCAAAATAGCTTTTTTCATTTGATGAATTTGATTTTAATATTTTTAAGGTACTCTCGCAAGTTGCTAATGAAAAATTAAAGCTTCCATTCAAAAATAAGCATTAAATAACCTTTATCTTATCAGTAACAAACAAAGCATTTAATTTTACTATTATGAGCAAAAGTAAAAACTGAACATAATCTACATCTATCAGATTTCAATAGAATAGCGAACAATCGCTCTATCTGTCTACACATTCATAAGTGCTGTAGAGACAATTTGACATTACTTGTAAACATGTTCAATCAGAATCATACTTAATCCCAGTTAAATCAGAGCACTATAAATGTTGATAAGTATTATTCTTTCATAAACATTTTGAGTAATAATTAGTAGTATTCCATCTACAAATGAGTATTTGATGGCTGAATTGTTTTCACATATAAATTGAGTATTAAAATTAGAACTTTTTATAGAGTCTACACAACACTAATTCCATTAAAATTCTGCAGTGAGAGTTAATTAAAAACTTTTTTAAATTATACATCCATTACTATTTGTTACACAGCCTGATTAAAAATTCTTACATTCATAATCCGTGTTATAAGTGCTTGGAGCATCCTAACAAGTTCTCTTTTAACATTTTCCATCTGTGCAACCTTTGCATTTTCCATCAGATTCCATCGTTGAAGCTTCCATCATATTCATTAAATAATTTCAAATTATACACCCATTCCATTCTATTGGTCTTACAAAGTTTCGATATTTTCTATAATTATTCATCTGCCACATGTTTACTATTAATTATCATCTATTCCTTTACACATCCCTTCTAAACCTATTAATCACAAACAAGTATTTTTATTTCCCTTATAACTTGAAAAATTTTGCAAAGTAGTTACTCATGATTTTGCTATAGCAACTTAACCAATTTTATATTTTTAGCAATCCTCAGCTGAATTGAATAATCCATTTTCACAAATTCTAACTTCTCCTCATATTCACAAATTCCATCTGACCCTATATAACCTATAATATCTTAATTCTAAGTATTACATGACCATAATTTTTCTACACATCCCCTTCCTGTGCTGACACATCCTTTCAAATACTAATCACTACTTATCTTTTCTCTAAGTAATCGGAGCAGTTTCACATTTTTTTTGTCCATTAATGTATAAGATTGAGATTTTCCTGATATTTGTTGAAATTTAATTTTCCTTAACTTCATTAGCCAATTTTTTTTGAAAATTCAACACTCTCGATCAAGAATAACAGAATTAACTACTTTACAACAATAAAATGGTCCATCTAATCTTGCCCTGAACTTGTATCTGTCTTCCATTCATCTTTAGTGATATTCCTGCTTCGCTACACAATTTATCCCTACATTTCTAATTTCCTGAATCCCATTTGCAATGACAAGATCCTATTTTTAGTTAATACTCATCATTTAACACTCGAACATCCTACATTTTCACAAATTTCCTCAATCTCCTTCCGATATACAGTATAACGATATTTTTTGACAATCTAAGCATGCTCGGAATAAAAATGTAGAACAACCTGTAAAAATTATGCAGCTTGAATTAAAGTAAGCATAACCTTTTACTTTGGAACAATTTTGTGCTGGATTTAATATGCTCTTGCAATAATCAGCTCATCCACCTGAATTTCCTTAATCTACATTCGAACCGCTATCAATAAATATCCCCTCTTTAATCTCATTATCTGTACTCCAAAGGCAATTCCCATATTCACAATCCTGTTTTGTAATAAGTTTTGAGCATTCCGAACATTAATCAAATTACAAAACACTAAACCAAAAAAAAACTTCCAAGAGTGCCATTTATAATTTTTATAATTTCTTAATTATATAAGATATTTTTCAATAATTTCTCTAAATATTTGATATTTAGTCAATTTAAATAAGACGATTTTAAAGTATCCCCTTTTTCTTAATTTTAAATCATCAATATATTCTAGGAAAATTTTTTAATTAAGAGAGAGGACTCCACATAAACTAGAATAAACAACAAAAAGGATTCATAAATTATTTAATATACTAATTATTATAATATACTAATTACTTTCTATAAGTATTTAATTAAAATAATAATTTTAACTTAGTGAAAATATAGTTTAAATATAGATAAAATATTTATGATTAATGACTTTAGAGAAAGTTAAAGAATAAAAACTTTAGGTTGATGTCTGGGATTTAGTATATCAACGAATCACTCTCAATTATTTGTACTTAATTAGATATATAGGTAAAGTAGCCAACTTTATGCCAAGAAAATTCAGTTGTAGAAAGAGGATTAAGCCTTATTTAATCCCTTGTTTAAAAGATCGATTTGCNTAAGTAATCGGAGCAGTTTCACATTTTTTTTGTCCATTAATGTATAAGATTGAGATTTTCCTGATATTTGTTGAAATTTAATTTTCCTTAACTTCATTAGCCAATTTTTTTTGAAAATTCAACACTCTCGATCAAGAATAACAGAATTAACTACTTTACAACAATAAAATGGTCCATCTAATCTTGCCCTGAACTTGTATCTGTCTTCCATTCATCTTTAGTGATATTCCTGCTTCGCTACACAATTTATCCCTACATTTCTAATTTCCTGAATCCCATTTGCAATGACAAGATCCTATTTTTAGTTAATACTCATCATTTAACACTCGAACATCCTACATTTTCACAAATTTCCTCAATCTCCTTCCGATATACAGTATAACGATATTTTTTGACAATCTAAGCATGCTCGGAATAAAAATGTAGAACAACCTGTAAAAATTATGCAGCTTGAATTAAAGTAAGCATAACCTTTTACTTTGGAACAATTTTGTGCTGGATTTAATATGCTCTTGCAATAATCAGCTCATCCACCTGAATTTCCTTAATCTACATTCGAACCGCTATCAATAAATATCCCCTCTTTAATCTCATTATCTGTACTCCAAAGGCAATTCCCATATTCACAATCCTGTTTTGTAATAAGTTTTGAGCATTCCGAACATTAATCAAATTACAAAACACTAAACCAAAAAAAAACTTCCAAGAGTGCCATTTATAATTTTTATAATTTCTTAATTATATAAGATATTTTTCAATAATTTCTCTAAATATTTGATATTTAGTCAATTTAAATAAGACGATTTTAAAGTATCCCCTTTTTCTTAATTTTAAATCATCAATATATTCTAGGAAAATTTTTTAATTAAGAGAGAGGACTCCACATAAACTAGAATAAACAACAAAAAGGATTCATAAATTATTTAATATACTAATTATTATTATATAATATACNTTTCGATATTTTCTATAATTATTCATCTGCCACATGTTTACTATTAATTATCATCTATTCCTTTACACATCCCTTCTAAACCTATTAATCACAAACAAGTATTTTTATTTCCCTTATAACTTGAAAAATTTTGCAAAGTAGTTACTCATGATTTTGCTATAGCAACTTAACCAATTTTATATTTTTAGCAATCCTCAGCTGAATTGAATAATCCATTTTCACAAATTCTAACTTCTCCTCATATTCACAAATTCCATCTGACCCTATATAACCTATAATATCTTAATTCTAAGTATTACATGACCATAATTTTTCTACACATCCCCTTCCTGTGCTGACACATCCTTTCAAATACTAATCACTACTTATCTTTTCTCTAAGTAATCGGAGCAGTTTCACATTTTTTTTGTCCATTAATGTATAAGATTGAGATTTTCCTGATATTTGTTGAAATTTAATTTTCCTTAACTTCATTAGCCAATTTTTTTTGAAAATTCAACACTCTCGATCAAGAATAACAGAATTAACTACTTTACAACAATAAAATGGTCCATCTAATCTTGCCCTGAACTTGTATCTGTCTTCCATTCATCTTTAGTGATATTCCTGCTTCGCTACACAATTTATCCCTACATTTCTAATTTCCTGAATCCCATTTGCAATGACAAGATCCTATTTTTAGTTAATACTCATCATTTAACACTCGAACATCCTACATTTTCACAAATTTCCTCAATCTCCTTCCGATATACAGTATAACGATATTTTTTGACAATCTAAGCATGCTCGGAATAAAAATGTAGAACAACCTGTAAAAATTATGCAGCTTGAATTAAAGTAAGCATAACCTTTTACTTTGGAACAATTTTGTGCTGGATTTAATATGCTCTTGCAATAATCAGCTCATCCACCTGAATTTCCTTAATCTACATTCGAACCGCTATCAATAAATATCCCCTCTTTAATCTCATTATCTGTACTCCAAAGGCAATTCCCATATTCACAATCCTGTTTTGTAATAAGTTTTGAGCATTCCGAACATTAATCAAATTACAAAACACTAAACCAAAAAAAAACTTCCAAGAGTGCCATTTATAATTTTTATAATTTCTTAATTATATAAGATATTTTTCAATAATTTCTCTAAATATTTGATATTTAGTCAATTTAAATAAGACGATTTTAAAGTATCCCCTTTTTCTTAATTTTAAATCATCAATATATTCTAGGAAAATTTTTTAATTAAGAGAGAGGACTCCACATAAACTAGAATAAACAACAAAAAGGATTCATAAATTATTTAATATACTAATTATTATTATTATATTGAATAAATATAATATACTAATTACTTTCTATAAGTATTTAATTAAAATAATAATTTTAACTTAGTGAAAATATAGTTTAAATATAGATAAAATATTTATGATTAATGACTTTAGAGAAAGTTAAAGAATAAAAACTTTAGGTTGATGTCTGGGATTTAGTATATCAACGAATCACTCTCAATTATTTGTACTTAATTAGATATATAGGTAAAGTAGCCAACTTTATGCCAAGAAAATTCAGTTGTAGAAAGAGGATTAAGCCTTATTTAATCCCTTGTTTAAAAGATCGATTTGCAGGATGACGAGGGACTTTTTCACTCATTTTTAAAGAGATCTTAAGGTCTCAGCAGTTATATTTTGTGGAATGTGTTTAATTTTTTGGGGTAGAAGTTTTCTGATGTTGCAAAACTTAATTGAAATTTTCTTAGCAAATATGAGTTGCAAAATATTTTGCATTTTGCTACAGTCTTTTTTTTATAAGTTAAAAAGAAGCTTTCTTTTCTCAAAAATAAGAATTAAGAACCATATAACCAAAGTTGCTTTTGAAAAGAAGTTATTCTAATCATCACTGTATTCGATTATTAAGGAGCCAATATGTGTGATATTTTAGCTCTTAAGCACTCTACACTGTAAACTACTCTTGATTTTGGAAATGGAATCTGAACTTTTTCTAGATAAAATCTGTCCTGAACTATAAAGACTCAAATCATATTTATAAAATAAGTTGGGAATCAAATTTAAACAAATCTTTAACAGGAGCTAATAATTATAATAATTTTTCCTCACTATTTTACTAATCTTATCAAATTTCTTAAAGAATTGAATTTAACTATAAATTTGATTCATTGATTAATTCATCAAAGAATTCTGCTTACAAAAAATAGGAAGTCATCTTGAATGTAAAACTAGTATTCATTGTGTCATTTGTTTTTACTGATTATTACCTAAAGACACTGGATTGTAGAAGGTTGTTTTGATATGTTAAAGGTTTCTCATATACACTAAGATTATCAGTAATTACGATAATTAGATGGTAATTTTTTCTAATTGTCATTTAAGCGAGCCACAAGTATATCTCTTTATTATTAATCCTATTTTTGAAATTATAGTTGTATTTTTATCAAAGTTTTTCAAAATGATATTTGCTTTTGAATATAGGCTCAACTCTATTTTGATTCTAAACCAATAATTACGATTATATTATTAGGCTAAAACTAGTGCATCGCAATCAGTTCCATTGTTCTTATTGTGTCTTCCAATTTATCAAAGGTGATATTTAGCTACCCAAGGCTATGCATGGGTATCGAGAATACCCGCTTTTATAGGCCTTCATGACTCCAAACCTAGACAGTGAATTTTTATTATTGAACCCTTCCTTTTACGCTGACATCCTACACCAGAAAGACAGACTACACCAATAAATAAAATACATGAGAAAAATATTTTGACTATTTCCCCAAGTGCAACTATTTCTTAAGGTTTTTTTTTGACTCTTTTGCTAAAGGCATCATGTAGTAATTTCATTAATTTGTTATTCTTAACTTCTTTAATGATCCTATTCTATTGTTACTTAATAATTCTGATTTCAATTTAGAAAAGAATCATTTATTAAAGTAGTTCTGAAATAAAATGATGATTTATAAAAATTTATGGAATTAAGATTCAAGGAAAAAATTGATTAATATTTGTAGTTGAAAATAACTATTAAACAAAATGGGTTTGTAAAAGGAGGAAGAACTTCAATTAAAATATGTATTATATTATATAGATATAAAGGTACAAAGAAGTTAAAATTAGCATAAGTCATTGATTTTTCTTAGAAACTTTATTAAATTTTGAGGGATAAAAACATTATGGAAAAAAAAATCCATTTTTAGAAGCTGAATATTAGAGAGACTAGAGACAGAGAAAAATAAAATGTATTATTTAAGGATGGGTACCTATGGGATCATCTTTATCTTCTGGTTTATTTAATATTTATTAAGAAGTATTTTTGGAATAAATATGCTGACCATCTATGCGTAACAATTAAGAATAAATATATTTAACTTTTAAGTGTAATGTGGATTTTGATATAGAATAATGCTAAATGTGGTTTTATTAATCTCAAATAGTAATTAGACAATAATAAATATATTGAAAGAACACCAATTGTTGACGAATATTTGGGAATTAATATGAACATATAAGGAAATTTGAAGAATCAAAGAATAAATTGAAATAAAGAATTAATTTGATAGTCAAACAATTAAGATGGATACTATAATTCATAGGTTTTAAAGTGATAATTAATTTTTGGATTGAATTCATCAGATCGCATTTCTAATATATCTTGGCTGCCTTATATTTTAATTAAATCAATATTTATTATCAGAAAATTAATCAATGATATAAAAAGATCTTTGAAAATATTAATAATATTTCCTAAAGCTACTTTTGATTAAATTATGAATAGTTCTGTTTAGCCTCTTTAAGATAGAATATATAGTAAGACTCTAATAGTAAATTTTAAATGGGTATTATTAGTAATATTAGAGGAATATTATTAATATTCCTAAAAATAACAAATGCTACATCTAAACACCTAGTAAATAGCCATTTGAAATAAAATCTTAAAAATTAGCAATGGAATAAAAAGTAAAAAATGGCGTAAATATAAGATAGAATAATAAAAAGACCATAATTGATTCGAAAAGAAAATATGATTAAGAATCATCAGAAATAATAATAACAATACGATAGTTTATTTTTTAAGAGGAAAACATCTAAAAAATCAATAAAATTAAAGTGTTAAAAAATCATACGACTTAGTTTTATATGGGATTAGACGGTTATTGATCAGCTGTTAAACCTATGTCAGATCAGATACTTTTAAATGTTTGTCTATTTTATAGATTACAACATCCTTATCTAAAGTAATCTTTAGCTTCCATTTAATGAATGATGAGAGATTCATGAAATGTGAAACTTAAAATTAATTTCTGGAAATTTGTGATGAATTACAATAATAATTGGAATATTGAAAGGAATGACTTAATTTAAAATTAAATCGAACTATTTCTTTTTTTGACCAAAACCTCTTTTGAGATTGCTCCAAATAATAGCAAAGAAAAGGAAGAAATATTAAAAGGGTCCTTAAAAGGTATAATAAGTTCTCTAATCAAAATGAGCCCAGATACTGAACTAATTGAATCATTATTTAAGGGAGCCTGTCTACTTTACAAAATGTAAGATATTTCTAAAAAGAGATAATAATATGCAGTTTTTTATTAAGTAGACGTTTTGTTATGGTAATAAATTATTTAAAAAAAAAAAAATACAGAAATCTATAAGAAATAATTGTAAAAATTGAGGCAAGATATGAAACAATAATTAAATGCTCAAAAAACTGGAGGGACCATTATATCTGAATCTAAATGATTGGTAAAATATTAGTCTTTAATCCTCTACTAACTAAAAATAAGTTTGGTCAGCTGAATAGTTCTTTAGATTTTGGGTTAAAGTCATTTAGTTAGATTTGGAAGGATTATACTAACAAAGGATTACTAATAATAACTAATTAGCTGCTATCTAAACTTGATTAACTTTAAAATAATAAAATAGTATAAGTTGATAGATTAATGTTAGAAGAAAGTCTCAAAGGATGAATAAAATGAGAATACTCCATATACATTCAGTTCATACTTAAAAGATAAACTAGATTTATTCAGAAAAGATTCCTATAATAAAGAAAAAAATTTGACTATTGAGAAAATATCAAAGCTTTCCAGTTTCATAATCTCAACTAAATTGATTAATTTAATAAAATAAAATGATGAGAACCTGAAGTAAGAAATTAAAATTGGGAAATAATTTAGAAAAGTTGAGTAAGTTAACACGAGACTGCTACAAAGAACTATTAATTCTTAATTTACAAAAATCATTTAAAATTTAAAAGAATATTTACAAAACACACAGAAAATTCTAAAAATCTTTAAGCTGAATTAAAATAGCAATTACTGACAGGCAGAATAATTCAAATAGGAAAATACTATTGAATTAAATATTTTATAATAGCTTAAATATTTAATGAGACTATTAGAATAAATATTATTCTTAGCAATTTAAGAAATGAAAGACTCTAGAAATCAATTTTTTGAAAAAGATGAAATAAAAATGCTTTAATAATAGAAAGAGTTGATTAGGAGGAATTAAAAAATTTAAATCTCAAAAGACACCCAGTTTTCATTTTTCTATAAGTTTGAATAGGAGCTCCTAGCCTTACCAATCGCAACCCTTAAAAAATAGAGCTTTTTGAAAAGGCTTAAAGCATTTTAAAACTAATTGAAAATTCTCAAAAATAAATCTCATAGTTAGAAATCATAGAACTTCAAAAAATAGCTTAAAGAAATGCTTTCAAGGGTTTATTGCATAATTTATATTGTTTTTATGAACAAAAGAATAGAATGAAGAACTTTAAAAAGATGTTAATTAATTTATTTGAAGTTTAAAGGCAATTCTAATTTCATACTATGAATTAAAGTCAGTTTCTTAAAATGAAGAATTAGTAAAAATTAACAAAAAATTTTCTAAGTTATCATTATAATTAATATTTGACTAAAAATTGAACAATCTAAAACTTAAATTAAAATTATTAGCTTATAAGGGTCTTTTTAAAATATATTAGCAGCTCAATCTGAAGAATTTTATTAGTTATTAGAAGTTATCAATTTAGATTAGTTTCTTCTTAATGTAATAATCAATTATCCTTAATAATTAATCCTGGCAACAACTCAAATCAAAAAGAAATAATACCTGAATTAAAGACATTAAAAGTCACTGAAGACTACTTAATAAATTATTTACCTAAGCATCAGGGAACAATAGAATACTTATTATTAAAATTAAGCATCGAGAATAAGTTCTTCACTCAGAAATAATATATTTAGAATTGATTCAGAAGGAATTTGGATAATTATTTATTGAAGAATCTAGTTCAACTTCAATCATGGAAAGAATAAAGAAGACCATTAAAGATGCATCAATAGATGAATCAATAAAAATGTGGCTAATGAAAACTTTAATCTTTTAGATTTGAAAATGAGAAAGAAAAATATGAGAATGTGTAGCAATAAATAAGGATTATTGAGAACAACAAAAATAATAATAATATTGAACATTTGAAATAATTCATCAATCAACTTGATTAAGTTGTTAAAGTATTGAGGAACTCATTAAATAAAAATGTAAAACTGTTTAAAATACCATTGTCGATTTTTTAAACGACTTACAAAAATTACAAAATAAAATAAAATAAAATAATTATGATGAAATATAGAAAAAAGAATAATGGAATTCCCATTTAACTTCTTCAAATTAAAAGGATAATTAAAAAAATGAAAACATTGAAATTGTTCTTAAGGATTAATAGAATATCAAAGAAAACCTTATTGATCTGTCGGATAAAAAATATCTAACTCATTTATAAATCATAATTAATATTGTAAAAATATAAGAGAAAAAAAAGCAGAATCTAAGCAACAACTGACTCAAATACTTGAAGGAGTTCAAAAGTTTAGAAACGACATTATAATAATTCAGGATTATAAAAAGGAAATTTAAGTATAAATGCATAATTTCTTTCTTAATTGTCTCAAAGATTAAATTAATAAATTTGAAGAATCACATTTTATCACAGCTGATTTAAAATAAATGGAAAATGAAAAGTTTAAAGAGTATCTTGAAAGAATTACTATTGTATTATTAAGATCAGGATGGATAAGATGAAAAAAATATCAAAGAATAAACCAATATTTTTGATTTTCTGAATAACATGAAGGCTGAAATACAAAAAATTTTGATAGAGTCAAAATGTGTCTCCTAAGAAGTTATAATCAGTTAAGAATTTTTAATTCAATAATAAAAAAAATTTATTTAATAGGAGATGAAGAAGAAGAAGGTGATGAAGTTGAATAAATTACATAATTAAGTGTATTGAATGCTTTAGATCTAAAGTATAAAGATTTTATAAATAATGACAAATGGAAGATTAAATATTGTTTCACAGATACAATTATTTCATTTTGCTAGAAACTCTAATTTAAATATGGGTTGAAGAAAAAGATTAAAGAGAGAGAAATATTCTAAAATAAATCAAATGAAAGAGTAACTCTAAAGTATGGGGAATGATATTAAATTTTTGAGAGGAAAATCAGTAATATAACTACTTGAAATTAGAAAATGGAAAGTGTTAAAAGAAGCAGCAGAAAAAAATGTTAAATCCATCTATGTGCCATTAAATACTCAAGAGAAAGATAAAAATGAAGTCAGTAATTTGATGAATTTAGATTAATTTGATGATAAAGATGGAGAAGTGAATGAGTTTTTATATGAAGGGAAAACAGTATTGCTAATTCATGGATTAGCTGGATCAGGAAAAAGTACTACAGCCAAAAAAATTGAAGAATTTATTTGGAAATTACATGAAAGTAATAAAAAAATTGGGAATTATGTACTAATACCTGTTTATATTTCATTACCCTCTTTAAAAAACCCTGTGTTTTAAGCAGTAGAGGAATCACTTCATTAAGATGATTACGGGTTTGATGATCTCTAATTGAAAGAATGTAAAGAAATGTTGTAAAAGAAAGAATTTCGATTCATATTTATAATGGACAGTTATAATGAAATGAAGCTAGAGAATATTTAGAAAAATTTATACTTTAATAATAAGCTCAAATAAAATTGACATGAATGGTAAGTATAGACTTAAAAACAAAAAGCTCTAGATTTTAAAAGGTTTGAACAGAGTTGGGAAAAGGTCTAGTCATCATTTTTGAAATTCGATGAAGCAAGATGGAAATCTGAGACTCTTTTGAATGAAAAATAAACAATCAGTATTTTATAATTTTTGAAGGATGATGAGTTAATTGCTTTAAAAAACAATGAAGCTATAAGAAGCTTGAGCATAAATTTACAAAAATTATGGAGTTTTAAAAAGTCTGAAGATATGATGAAGTCAGTGAATCTAAATAAATTAGTGGAAACTCCATATATGATGGAAATTATAATGTAAGTGTTGCCCAATATGATTCTTAAAGCAAATGAGATTATTAACATTAAATAAACCTTCTTGAAGAATTTTTCAAAGATGTTGAAAGAATTCTACATAAGTAAATACAGAATTCAAATGTATAAATCACAACAGAAAAGGCATCTGTA